GAATAAAAAACATGAAAATAAAATACATTAAAAGTACCTATTTCCTACCCTCAATATCCTAGAATTTAAATCAATTGAGAAGAAAAAAAGTAGAAAAAAAAAGAGAGAAGGTTGTTGGCATCATACCTTCATATCCGTCACATCAATACCACCATCCATCCTTTTTAAGGCAGCTAAAAGCAAGTCATATTGTGCAAGTCATATTGTTAGTTAATATATTAATGAAAAAAATAAAAGAAATAAGTAACAGACCATAACAAAATCATGGAAAAGTCAAATTCACAAAGATAGAGGACAGAGAAATAACACATAGAAGAGACGATGCAGAAGATGGATTAAATGATGAGGAAGAGCTTATTAGTATATATATATTATTATATACTAATAAGAAATGTAATTTCATAAGGATACAAAGAAATAGTTTGTGTTAGTGTTAGAAGTCTAATGATTATAAAATTTCAATTAAAAAGTATTTTGTTATATTATATATTATCAAATCAAAATTATCAAGCAAATTAAAATGCAAAATTTTCTATTAATATTAGAAACGTAAATCATTCTTTTTCTCCAAAGCTGGCCCACTTGAAATTTCATTTTAATAACAACATTGGCAATAGAATTGGAATTTTTTGGATAAACGTTTGGTTCAAGAAGTTTAAATTTTTAAAAACTTCTGCTCTACTTTGAATTGATGTAAATTTGAGATATATATTTGGTAGATTTAATTAAATGCAAATTAACAAAATTAAAAATTAATTATATAATGACAGTTTAGAAATATGTTAAAAACTAAGAATATAATAGACATTTCAAAAGTTAAATAAGGGTAAAATAGGCATTTCAAAAGTTCCTCAAAACTCGTACTTTTATATATAGTATAGATTATTATTTAATTTATTATTTATTATTATTATTACTATTACTATAGTATCAAGCAACTAGCCTTATAGATATATTTTTTAAGTACTTACGTTACTTATACTATTTTTTAAGACTTATCATAATATATGAAAGAGTAAAGGCTCAAATAAGAGCTTCAACTTTCATAAAAATCTTAAATAAGGGTTTCAAAACACAAGTTCAACAAATTAAAGTACATATTTAGTAAATTATGATATATTGTGCAAGATATTAGCTAATACTAGTTTGCGAGATGTATATAAATCAAAAAGCACGGAAAAATTTTGTATCATACTATGTTTTTTGAATTTATTTGGATTAATATGTTTTGATTTTTAATTAATTTAATAACATCATTTTTCTATCAAAATTGATGTGTAGGCATGACAAGCATTGGTTTTCATCCGAGGAGAACCTAATTTGTAAAACTTTACTTAGTATGTCTTCTAATTTGTTGAAATTGTATTTTAGGGCCCTTATTTGAGATTTTTATGAAAGTTCGGACCCTAAATTGAGATTACAGCCGAATATGAAATGAAATGATATAAAATCAAACATCCAATACTCGTTGTTGAGTGTTTCACGTGACTAGGATTCGATTCTTGATAACCTTTTTTCTTTTTTCTACTTTTGAACATGATATTGAAATAAGCTACACAATAGGAGATAGTCCTCTCATTTCCCATATTCTTGATAACCTTAATATCATAAAAAATGATATTTTAATTTTAATTTTAATTTTAATTAATTTATTACTTTTAAAAAATAGATTTAGAGATGGTACTACTCCACTAAACCCTAATTTATCCTGTTGCCAAAAAAACCTAATTTATACAACAAAATTTTTTTTATATATGTAACAAAAAAAATTATATGTATCTGTAACACACAAAATTTCTAAGTCGAAAAATAAGACAAGAAATATTGGAGCCAAATAATAATTTTATTGATTGATGAATGCAGGTACAATCTTTGGAAATTCTAATATTAAGAAATTGTCATCTAATTCTTCTCCTTCGCAAAATTCTGCTTCAAGATTTGCTTTAAGGGTCAAATGATTTGATCTTGAACTTGATGATAATTTTAGAGTTTGATTTGATTTGATTTGATTCAAGGGTCAAATGACTTGATCTTGAATTGATGAGTGAGTTTGATTTGATTCGAGGGTCTTTGATGACTTGATCTCGAATTGATGATAATTTGACTCAAGGGTCGAATGAGTTGATCTTGAACGAACACAAATAATCTTCTTCAAATATGTTGATGAAGATCAAAATAATAATTTCTTGAAAGCGAGCTTCTGTAAATCTTTGATAATCTTCCTTGGATCTTCTTTGAAAGAAAAATCATCCACATACGTGGATCTTCTTTCAATAATTCCCCAATAACTGGGTTTTCAGTAATTCTCCAATAATCGAATCTTCTTTGAAAGAAGAATTTTCCACATACGTGAATCTCTTTCAATAATTCTCCTTGGATCTTCTTGAGACTTTGCTCTTTAGCTCTGCTTTCTGAATTGTGTGTTAAAAATTACTTGGGAGCTTGGTATTTATAGTGGGAGATGGAGAGTTTCAATATAACTTAATTTCTCCTTGTTATTTATCTCTAAATAATTAATTTTAATTAGAGATAAATAAGATAACACAACAGTGAATTTTGATTGGTTAATGCTTGAAACCTTGAGATTTGATTAGCCAGGTGATGCAATTTCTTTACCAATTATCTCAATTTAATTAGAGATAAAAGGTGATGACTCACAACTTAATTTTGATTGGTCAAATCATTAAACATTGAAATTTAATTGGTTAGACCATGTGTCATATTTATCTACCATTTTCCTTAGAAAATATCCGATAAATTTAAGGATAAATTCTCAAAAGAAATTTGTAGAAAATTTTTGATTGGCCGAAATTTCTTGCTCTACAGTATTGTTGTCCTTTCTTTTGTCATACATATATAATTGTACTATATATATAAATTATTACATGAACCAGTTTCATCACGTTATACATGGTACTGACCAATAAAATTGTAACAATTTAGATTTTTCATATAATTACTAAAACCCTATCAAATAAATGTCCTAGATTTTGAGACTTACCTCGTAAATCTCACTATTACTAAAATTTGTGGCTAAACCTGATTCTAAATTTGTTCCAAAATTTTATAATAATTTTAAATTGTCACAATTTTATTAGTTGGAACCATGGAGTTTAATACAGGTATCGACGGATATATCGAACGGATATATCGACGGATATATCGAGGTATCGATGAAATTCAAATATAAGTGGTCCAAAATGCATTAAAACGACGGATATTTATAGTAAACGTTTGAATTTTGCCTTGAAATTTTGACCAATTCTTATTTACATATTTCCACATGTTTTAGAATCGAGATATGATAAATAGAGTATATATAGACATTGTTTTTTTTATATATATATTTTACTGCGAAAAGTGTATATAATATGTATAAATCAACTATACTAATTTAAACACACATTTATTTTATCTTCAAAATGATGGTTACCAAATTAATCACTTCATTAAATGTAAAAAATTAGTATATGATTTCTTTTATGAAGCAAGAAAGTACTAGATCGTATTTATAAATGCATTATTTTACATTATTTTAGTCACAAAACACAATGCAAAGCACAAATACAATCTCAGTACCACATTGAATTTCTTAGAGACTCAAAATCACTACTACCGTAGTTACCATTGCTATGACTTCTACTAGGCATGGATGTATCATCTCCCCCGGGAGCGGTAATCCAGTTAAAATATTCAAGTCATGACATATAAGGTTTATAAACCACCATATAATTGTGCACATATTCCAAATATGCCTCTCGACTAATACTTGTTAGCCATCCAATAGGGGGGCACTCACCCGAAACTGTGTCCGCGTTTGGCTGTTGCATCGGATGCTCATTATAAGTTTGTTGTTCAAGTGGATACTCTGGATACATGTTAGATGAAATCGATGATTCAAACTCATTTGCTCCAGATCTAGTACCATAACTAGAATTTGATTCAAAATGCCCTCCATATCCAAATGAAGTAGATGCAGTTGTTAAGCTTATTGAGCTAAACTCATAAGTGAGTTCACGTATTGCTCTTCTCCCTTTTCTATTTTTGGCCCCATGCCGGCTCTACGAGATCCATGATCTTCATCTTGTGTTGCATGTGTGAAATCTGTCTCACATGGAAAAGGACCGTATGGTACATAATCACTCCCATAATTGTCACCATACCTGCTTGCATCTTCTGCTCCACTTTGTCCATCCCCACGTTGTAGTTCTGCCTTCATTTCCCCCATCATCATCACATCTTCCGTGAGCTGAAAAACCTCTAAATTTAGGTTGGGAACCGAGTCCAGGTGGAGGACCAACTGTTTTACTTTGAACAAAGCTTTGGGCAAAAAAAAAATGACATAGAAGTGTTGTGTCGAATACCAACACTTAAACGAAACAATTGTCGAGAAACCCGGGTCTATTTCAAACCAAATCACTTAAACGAAACAATTATTTGTATTACACTATTACCACAGTTTTGTATAAATGACTTCAATTGCTAATATTTTTGAAAAAAATGAAATAATTCATCGAAATGTCGCTTATATTTTTAATCCTAAATGTAAAAATGGAAAAAAAAATATTTAATTTAATATGGATATTTACGGATATATCGAGATTTATCGAGATATCGATAAATATCGACGGATACATGGATATATCGATGGATATCCCGTGACATTGAAATTTTTATGGATATTTATATCGAGGGGTACAGATATCGGATATATCGACGGATATATCGAGATGTCGATGGATATTTAATTCCATGGTCGGAACTATAGATGACATGGTGAAACTGTCTATCTCATAATTTCTCCCTTTGAACATCTAATTTCTCCCTTTGAACATCGTATCGTATATTATATATATATATATATATATATACTTTCTTTATTTTTATTTTTTTTGGTGGAAATGGAACTGGATTAAGGAAAATCAAGAGTTTACAAGCCTGGGCATGGAGAGCCCCATAATATCATCCATAAATACATCAAAACCAAGATAGGAATACTGTCAAAAATCAATGAAGTTATCCCCTGAATTTCTTCCAAGATTAGCCAAAGCATCCGCAAGTCTGTTGCCTTCCCTATAGCAGTGTGATAACTTCAGCCTATGAAATTGGCTCATAAGTGTCCTGCAATCAATAATCAAATTGCCAAGAGGATGAAGATTAGCATTGGCCTTTTCAATAAGAGTAATCACAACTTTAGCATCAATTGAAACTTCCAACAAAGAAATTCCTTTGTCCAAAGCCAGCTTCAACCCATCTCTGAGGCCCCACAGTTCAGCATGGACACTAGTAGCATGAACAATATTCCTAGCATAACCATACATCCACTCCCCAAACTCATTCCTAATGCATCCACCAGATCCAGACAAGCCAGGATTATCCAAAGTAGATCCATCCGAGTTTAACTTAAACCAGCCATAACTAGGGGGAATCCAATGAACATTCACAATTTTTCTAGCCACAAATTTGGTTTTAGCAGCACCAAGATGAAAAAATTCAGAAGCTTTAACAAACGATGTATTAAAAACAGAATTAAAGTCCAAAGCCTTTCCTTGAAAGAGTCTAGCATTTCTGGAGTACCACAAACTCCAACAACAATAAGCAAATAGGCAAGGCCAAGGCAAATTATTAACTACATTAGGATCAGAAAGATTAATCCTAAACCAATCAAAAACATTATCACAATCAAAAAAATGTTGTGGTAAATGAGAGATTTTATCCCAAAGAGAATGAGCAATGGTGCAATCTCTGAGAATATGCAAAACAGATTCCTCAGTGTCCAAACAAAGATCACAACAAGGGTCAAACGAGATTTTCCTATGATAGAGCATGGATCTAGTGCATAGCTTATCAAGGGCAGCAGTCCACAAAAAATGCATGACTCTAAAATGACAAGGAACATGCCATAATTTTTTCCAAAACACAAAGTCATCCTTCTCATGAATGATACTAGCAGCAATTTCATAAGCCGAGTTCAAATTGAAAGACCCATCAGAAGAGAAATTCCAAACAATCAAATCATTTTGATTTCTGTTAAAGGGCAAAGCAGTAGAGAAAATGAACTTGAGAATGCAATCAGGGAGAAGAAAGGAAGACAAACTCAAATCCCAACCACCATTATGATCCACACAATCAGCTACCCTCAGCAATTCTTCATTACGATTAAGAGGGCCTGAAATTAAGGATCTCAAATTGCTATCACAGTTAGAGAGCCATCTATCAAACCAAAAGCTAGTATCAAGCCCAGATTTAACAACTTTCCTACATCCATCCTCAAGAACATCATCACCCTTACCCAGGCTTTTCCAAACATCAGAGGAATGTTTTCTATTAGAGGTAGAACTAGGAGCCTTGTATTTGCAATTAATGGCCTTAACCCAAAGGTCCTCAGGGGATTTCTTGGCTCTCCATTGCAGCTTAGCTAACAAAGCGATATTTCGAAACTTGGCTTTTCTGAGATTGAGCCCACCCCTTCTTTTCTTTTTTGTGACTTGATCCCAATTCACTAAATGAATTTTCTTACACTCATCAGACTCACCCCACAGGAAATTTCTATGAAGTCTATCAATTTCAACATGAATAGAGGCCGGGAGCATACTAGTGTTCATGGAATAATCAGCCATTGCCGAGGAAACAGACTGAATAAGGGTGCATCTACCTGTAATAGATAAATTGTGAGCTTTCCAACCAGACAACTTACTTCTAATCTTATCTATAACAGGTAGAAAGTCCCCTTTCTTTGCTTTCGCAACCAAAGTGGGATGACCAAGATAAACACCAAGATTGTTAACTTTCCTAAACCCAAGTCTATTAATAAAAAGGTTCATATTATCCTCAGAGACTTTAAGAGAGCACCACAATTTGGTTTTACTAGCATTCACTTTCTGACCAGACCTAATGCAAAATTCATGCAGGGTCCTAGAAATAGCATCACAGTTAGCAATATTAGCTTTAGCAAACAACATAATGTCATCGGCAAAAAGAACATGTGAAATCCTAGGTCCCCCTCTCCCAACAAGGATGGGGTTCCAATTATGGGAATTAACCTCATTCTCAATCATGAGAGAGAGATATTCCATGCTCAAAATAAAAAGATAGGGGGATATAGGATCCCCCTGTCTAATGCCCCTAGAAGCAACAAAAGATTCAGAAGTGGTTCCATTAATGAGCACAGAGAGATTAGGATTAGAAATGCAAGAAATGATAAGAGCAATAAAAGGTTCAGGAAAACCAAAGAAAAAGAGCATCTCCCTAATAAAACCCCATTCAAGCCTATCAAAGGCTTTCTCAAGATCAATTTTGATACAAACCCACCCATCCTTTGCCTGGCTATAATAAGCAGAATTAAGAGCTTCTTGAACAATGATGATATTATCAGAAGCTCTTCTCCCAGGCAAGAAGGCCCCTTGAACCGGGTTAATCAATTCCTTGAGACAATTTTTAAGCCTATTAGCTAAAATCTTAGTTACAACTTTGTAGCAAGTGTTACCAAGGCTAATAGGTCTAAAAAGCCTAATGTTGTCAGCACTAAGAGTTTTAGGGACAAGGCAAATCAAAAATTGCTTCCAATTGTCAAAAATTCTGCGAACATTGAACACATGTTTAATAGCAACACACAAATTATTCCCAACATCACTCCAACACTTCTGAAAGAACCCCGCATGAAGACCATCAGGTCCCGGCGCTTTAAAGGGTTTAAGACTCCAAAGGGCATCTTTGATATCATCACAAAAAGGAATACAGACTAAGCGATCCAGGGACTCAGCACTAACCTTCCTAATACCAGGCGGAGCATCATAGGGAACAAGACAACAACTAGAAACTTCAGTTGAATAAAGACTCTTAAAAAACTCAACAACATGATTCTTGCAATTCTCATCATAAAGCCAATTATTGTTATCATCCTTAAGAGCAACAATTCTATTGAATCTCCTCCTAACAATAGTGGACTTATGAAAGAAGCTAGTATTGTTATCCCCTTCCAACAACCAGTCAATTCTTGACTTCATGGCCCAAAGAGTTTCTTCCTTTCTAATCAGATTAGCCAACTCAAGTCTAAGTTCTCTATCAAGGTCTAACAAAAAATGAGAAGGCTTAACAGAAATTTCTTTTTGAATACCAAGAAGCCTAGCTTGAATCCTTTTCTTATTGTGAAAAACATTACCAAAAACAGTTTTGTTCCAATCCTTAATAAGAAAGGTAAATTCAAGGACAGCAGCATCAAAACAAAAGGGATGTGCATCCCAAGTACGCTTAACAACATCAAAAAAGGATGGTTCAAAAAGCCACATGGGTTGAAACCGAAAGGGTTTATCAAGCAAAACAGGATTTTTGACCTCGGTAGCAAACAAAAAAGGGCAATGATCAGAACATGTTTTAACCAAATGGAACACAATGGAATTTGGAAACACATCAAGCCAACTATGATTAACCCATGCTCTATCAATTCTTTCTTGAATAAGGGTGTTCAAAGGCTGAGAGTTAGACCAAGTAAATTTAGGGCCGACAAACCCCACATCAATCATACCACATGAATTAATGCAATCATTCAAAAGAGCTGACCTAGCAATATTAATGCTTCTACCACCAAATTTATCACTAGAGCGAAGGGGTTCATTGAAGTCCCCAATCCATAGCCAAGGGTGATTTAAGTTACTATTAAGAAGAGACAGATAATCCCAAAGCAATGCTCTACTATCATGATCAGGGTTAGCATAGACCGCAGAAACAGCAAAGATAAAATTAGAAGATCTAACCTTGAAGTCCATGGTTATCTCCTGCTGAGTCCTACTCCTCATTGTCGCATCAAACTCTCTAGAATCCCACAGGACCCAAATACCACCAGAAAATCCAATAGGATCAACAAACTCAACACCATCGAAGCCCAAAGAATTCCTAACAGATTCACCACGCAAACCCGAGATCCTAGGCTCAGTAATGACTAACAAATCAGGCTTATGATCAACCACAAGTTGCCTAACCGTTTGTCTAAAAAGGGGACTAGCCGCCCCTCTCGCATTAAGACTGAGAATCTTCATGATGAATCGAAGAGGATCGTTTGTCTCCATCACGGAGCTTACTCTTAGCCAGTTGAATCTCTCCAGCAAATATTGCTCTTCTCAAAGCTCTGGTTGAAACGGCAGCCGGTGCTTGAATGTTCTTCTTTCTGGCTTTGCGCAGAATCTTGCGAAGACGAACATTTCCATTCCCTACACCTCTGCCAGAATTGCAAACAGTAAGTTTCCCAGAGTCATTAGAATCCCGAAGGGAAGAATCAGCACTTCCCTGGCTTCCGGTGGTGGAGACTTCAATAAAATCAGTATGGAGAGCTTGATTCGTTGTCTCTGTTAGGTTTCTAGTTTCTGACTCAATAACATAATTCCTTCCAGCGTCGGGAAATGGAGAGGCAATATCTTGTGAGTCAACAGCTGCATTCACTTCTTGGACCCGCCCTCCACAACTTCGCAACGATTCATTTATGTCGTCGGAGTGATCCAAATTAACATCAGAAAGAGATTTGCTCCTATCGAAGGGCGAGATCGCGAGTTGGGATTCCACAGCAATAACTTGCTTGCTTCCAACATTTGCGTCGGTCTCCACCAGGTTTCGCGTCGCTTCAGGAGTTCTCTCTGCATCTTCCGCTTCAACTGAATCAACTTGAGTATGAGCTAGTGTGGAAGTTAAATGCTTAAGACTGGGGACAATCTCAATCGCAGAAACTGGAGAGGAAACCCTAAGCCCCAAATCATTAGAAACAAAAACATCAATCGGATCTTTCAATAAACCCAAGTACCCGTCATCCAAAAGAGGCCCTTCAGAGACATTTTCCAAGTCCAAGGGAGACTGGGCCAGGTCATCCTTAGTACCCGAAGGCCCAACATTGTGCGAAGGCCCTAAGCACAAAAACCGATCCCCAAAATTTCCCCCCTCAGAATTTTGTTCAAAATTTGAACCAGTTCCTTTCTGCCGCCAAACCTGAATTTCCTTCCCTTTTCGCTGCGACACCGATCGATTCCTGGCCGTACCAGCACTGTCATTCCTTCCTTTGGATCTTCTTCTTCTAGATCTGCCCCTTGACTTATGTTTCCTCTTAGGCACAATCATCCACGGTCCTCTGCTATCATTTTCAATATCAGAAACTGCTCCTTTTTTGCATTCAGTATCTTTATGCCCAGATACGCTCTTTATGTCTTTAACCTACCCAATCCCGCGTATTAACTAATGCCCTTTATATATTAAAATCCACACCTGACCTTTTTTACTTTTACCGACATTAATTGCCTGCAATATTAATACTTTTGTATGCAATACATGTATCAAAAATTTATATATTAAATATCATTGTCCTTTCTTTTGTCATACATATATAATTGTCCTATTAAATTATTGCATCCATACTTGCGATAAAGAAATTTGACTTTAATAAGTGACCAAAGCTAGTCAATGAATTCATATACATTTTTTTCCAGTTAAAAATGGTTAGATATTTTTTTTTACGTGCAGGAGCAAGACGACTCTGTTTTTCAGCGGTCACTTTCTATGTTTTGACTAAAAAAATCTTTGGCTTTGGCTTTTTTCCTCAAAAAGACAAGATTGGGTTTCAATAATTATCATTTTCATATATTTAGTAGTATTATAGTTTCTGTTATTATTCTGATTTCTATTTACTTGTTAATCTGATTAAATTTGCAGAGGAATTTTACTACGATATGAGTTGCTTAGAAATTGCTAATCAAGTCACTCTTCTTGTCAAAGTTTATTGCAACTTGCAAGTAAAAGTATTTCTCAGATTCATTCTCCCATGCATGGAAATAGGCTACGGGTTTTTTTTTTCCCTGCCAAAAAGCAAGGGCAACTTGCCCTGGACAAACTTTTAGGTTAAGCAATGACCAGCTTAGACAAGTCTAGTCAACCATGGATGCCTCGAGAGGTCCCTATTTGAACAGAACCTCTTTAATTTCCCCTGTCTCAGCTCAGAATTTGCAGCAGGATGAATGAAACATTGAATTTTTCTTTTTTGTTAATGCTTCTTTTCTTGCTCACAGCTTACCCTAAGTTTTTGTAAGGAAGTATAATTGCATTAAAATATGTTGTATTATTATATAATATATTATATATTATATATTATATATATAGACTGATTATGTCTTAACCTAAGCTTTTTTTTTTGGTAGATTCTTCAACAATTAAATCATTGTGCATTAGGAGCAGAGGACTCTGTTTTTCAGCGGTCAAAAAAAATCTTCAGTTTCAGATTCTCCCATGGAATTTAGGCTGTAGGTCTATCGTCTTCTTCCCACTCCAATATGGTTTTTTCCCATGCAAAAAAGCAAGGGCAGATTGACCAGCTTAGACAAGTCAAGTCAACCATGCTGGCTCGAGAGCCCCCCCTACTTAAACAGAGCCTCTTTTTCCCCTGTCTCAGCTTTGAGAAATCTGCAGCAAAATGAATGAAACATATGGAAATGGAACTGGGTTCTATCTTCAATGATAAAAATATGAGAAACAACTTTAACTTTCCTACAATCATCCAACTACGTAACGAAAACCTATATTTCTATGATGTTTCAAGCCAAGACCACTGCTAAGAACTATAGAATTTGCATATATATACGTAGTTGGTTGACTTGAGTCATCAAATAATGATACTATTACGAGTCACTATATTGATAACGATTTATGGATTGTGAATCAAGCCGTGCTGTTGAAGTTGAACTTGACTCTGATGTTTGAGTACTAAACGTATTAGTTTCTCTACCCTTTCCAGATTGCATTTGGTTGAGCTGGTCTCGTAGGGCTCCAAATCTCGAGTCATCACGAAAAATGCTTGGATCCATGATTAGTTCAGGCACATGGATTCGACCTTCAAGCATGTTTACTATTTCAGACATGACTGGTCTAAGTGCTGGCGACGAATTAGTGCACAACAAAGCTACTTTTATCATTCTCATTGCCTCTTCTTCGTTGTACTCTGTTCCCAACCTTGGATCCACTAACTCCATTAAATTTCCCTTCTGTTGTAAAACCAGAGCCTGAAATGTGAAAAATAGATAGTGGAAGTTTATATGATGATGATATGATATCTCAACCTTAACAACAGAATTTAAGTGTATAACAACATTTAGAATTTAAACTTGAATTTTGTAAGTTCTTACCCAATCTTGAAGGCATACATAATCTTCCTCGGGTCGATATTTGGTATTGTTCTTACCGGCAACGATTTCTAATGCAACAATTCCAAAACTATAAACATCTGCTTTGAATGTCAAATAGCCCCATAGTGCATATTCTGGTGCCATGTATCCTCTGCGAAATATAGGAACTATGAGCACAATATTCTCAAGATTTAGTATCATTTTTTGTTCACCTCTGCATATTGCACTAATGCAAAATTTAGAGAGTTTATTAGATTCAACTGAAATATGCTAAACTGAAAGAAGTAGCAGCTCACATAGTCCCAGCAATTCGGGTGCTGATATGGGTGTTTTCTTCCTCATCAAACTTGGCCAAACCAAAGTCGGAGATTTTAGCATTGAGATCCTTATCAAGTAGCACGTTGGTAGTTTTGATGTCTCTATGAACGATTTTTAAACTCGATTCCTCGTGCAGGAAAGCCAGACCTTTTGCTATCCCAAGACAAATATTCTGCCTAGTAGGCCAGTCCAAATGCAACTGGCTTTCTTTAGGACCTGTAGATTATTGACACAGATGACCAACCAATGCATTCCAATTTATAGTTAAGGAATCAACATTGTAATTTTTGTGAGGATGGTTGAAGCGATTAAAGGAGAGGAACACTTGCTTTATGAAGTTCTATCATCACTGAACCATAAAAGAAAAGCGAATTAAAGAGGTTTAGGACATTAAGCTTACCAAATAAAGCACGTGAAAGGCTATTATTTTCCATGTACTCATATACCAACAGTAACTGAGTTCCCTCAACGCAACATCCATACAGCCTGACAAGATTCGGGTGTTGTAATCCAGAAATCATGCCTAGTTCATTCAGAAATTCACGATCCCCTTGCTTTGATTTTGAAGAAAGTTTTTTAATTGCAATTATGGTGCCATCTAGTAGTTCACCCTACAGCAAAGGTATAGCATAGTATTTTGTCATACATTTTATCACCTAACACGTACTCTTAAACATCATATATCGGAGAGAGAGCAAGTAAAATGGTAAAGACCAAACATAGAGTGCCGGTACCTTGTAGACAGATCCAAAACCACCTTCTCCAATTTTATTTGCAGCGTCAAAATTGTTAGTGGCAGCTTTCATTTGTCTATAGGTAAAAAAGCCGGTCTGCAGATCTAACCCCCTCAGGACTTTGGAAAAGATTGGGGGAACAAGTTGAATTAGACAATCAATTGCATGCAAGGCATAGACTTGTGCAACTATATCATTACAAAGAAGCTTTGAAAGTATAAAATTGTATATTGAAGCTTATTAGAGTACCTTGTTCCCTTGACATCTCACGTCTAAAGTAGCCTTTCCACCATAGTATGCCTAGAATTATCAAAATCAAGCAAGGAACAGAAACAACAGCTCCCACTAGAAACTTCATCTTCGTATTTGCAACATGAGGAGCTGGAGGCTTAAAATCTACCCAAAAACAAAGGAATAAAAAGGTATAAACAGTTGTTCTCAAAACTTCATCTCCTAAACTAATGCTGCATATGCACATGGCCAACCATAAGTTAGACTAATCCAACAATCTAAGCACTTAAAGACAATATAGGATGATTCAAGCACATAAAATCTTATGCTTCTTTTCTTCTTCTTCATTTTTTTAGAAGATCAAAGAACATAAAGCAGATCTTATATGCTGATTCAACAGTTTACTATAAAGTTCAACCAGCTTCAATTTCCTAAATCCTACATCAGCTAACAATAGTAAGTGCGAGCTCATTACCGCTTCACATCATCTACATGTCAATCCACTGCAACATTAAATAAGTTGGACAATTTCTAAAAGAGTTCTCAAATTAAGAAGGAGATTGAGCAAACACGTATGAATTGAATGAAGGGCTATTTAGATTACAGTCTTACCTGAGTCTACTGAGATTGCTGATATCAGAGGACCATATGTTCCTCTTCTAGGGGTAGCAGTTGTCCCCTTTCCAGCCCAATGAAAACGAATTGTCAAAGTTTTGTTGCCGACGGAAGTTTTAAAAGTCCTAATAACTGCTTTATCTACACCCTTTGCCTCACTTTTGATGTTGAAATCCTTCAACACAAGTTTCTCCTGCAACACACTTATTAAATCAGCCAGCTTCAGTAACATGCAAATTATACTTCACATTTACATGATGAATTACCTGGACATAAACATCAAAAATCCTTCTTCCAAGACTATGAAAGGATCTGTTGTCTCTGATAACTATCTCCGCAAAGTGAAGCGTAACTGTATAACTTCCATTTGCTAAGCAACGAAAATAATATGTGAGAGAAAGTGGAGAGAGGCGTGCTCGTGTGTATAGTTCGGAGTTGTTTATTTTCAGAATGGAAACATTTTGTGCTATGTAGTCCTTTGAAGTAACGGAGGTATCCCAGAAAAGCCCAGTGCTACTGGTTTCCCAAGTCTCTTTGAGAGGAAAATATTTTGCTGGGCCTCCTGCATCTTCATCTGCTTCATAGTTGATGCCATTAATGGTGGTTGCCCCTCCACCACAATTAATATATACTGAATACCAATCTATAAGAAATGAAAAACTAATGGTGATTAGATTGATCAAATTATAATAGGAACAAAACAGGAATAAAGGACCGGCCAGAAAGAAATTATTCTTCATTAGAGTAAAAGGTTTCTACAAAGAACAATTTCAGATTTTATATTGGCACTTTGTTTTATGTAAAGAAATTACCTTTTGAACAAGGAAAGTGCTTCAGGCAGTCATCCTGTCCACTAGATCAGAGTTATATGACAAAGAAGCATCAGTGTTAGGAGTTTGTGCATTGAATTAACAAAAAAACTGGTAGCTTTGTTTGTGCATTGAATAAGATACAAACTTACGAGTTTTTGCTCCCTGAAAAGCTTTTGAACAAATTTCTGATAAAAAAAACAATCACTTTAATGTTACAAAAATTTACAAAAGTCAAGAAGTAATACACAGCATAGGAATCCATGTTAGGAAGGAGTGTTTACTTACAGATTTTCCCTACAAGAAGCTGGCTCAGAGCTTTCAGAAAAATTATTGTAAGAAAGATCTATCTGGCTGCAAAAGAAGTAAAATTATAACTACCGAGATAACAAGTTGATTAAAATAACAACCTTATAATTTATAACTGGTAGACAGGATATCATTCCGGGAATGTAACCCTTTAGCATCTACAAAATGGACAATTTGGGTCATCCTTCTTTACATTGCTTGAAAACAAATAGTGGCTAGTTTGGAAGTAGATCCTTAAGAGTATGATAAGTCCTAAAGTAACTGCACATAATGTAAGAAGTAAAATCAACTCGAGCCACCAAAAATAGAGGATTAATTAAATAGTACTCTAGCCACTTGACCAAACAAGGCAGTGAATTTCCTTCCTTTAAAAGCTTTTGACAAACGTATACCCAAAATACATGTTCGAGTTCTAAATCTTTCACGTCATGCACTTCTGACAGGATGACATGCTGGTTATAAGTTATTACTAAAGCAGCATCTCTATTTTTAGTCCTATCGCAAGTCTCAACTCACTTTCTACAAAATTAACCTATCTTACGCTAAAGACCTAGGAGATATCATGTAGCATAAAGTGAGCTTTAAGCTTCATACTGTAAATATTTACTAGAGAGTCATTAATGAAATGCAGAAAATACACAGATACGGAAATGTCAAAATAGTAGGAGAAAAACTAGGATAGTAGACATACAAGCGGCTATCTCTGGCATTTATCCATTCTGGAATGGGCCCAGTAAGCGAGTTGCTTGTCAGATACCTATTCAGTAAGCAACATAATCAAACCACATTTAAGCACTTCTGTTGGCATTTGTCTTGACAGGTTGTATTTGAATTCTGAAGTTTAAGTGAACTAAATGATTGACCAAATTTAAAACTTTATATGAATTATTAGGCATGCAGAGTTTCCTTTTAAATTCCTGATTCTGAAGTTGTGGAAATATAAGCATTAAGCAGGCTTTGATTGTGATTTTTATCATGATCTGGGTTAAGTGCACCTTTCAGATGAAAGAAACAAATGACTCTATTACCACAACTATCACAAGATTTTAAGCTTTAGGAGTAAAACTTTTCTTTAAGCTGACCAAACAAAGAAAAATGGAAGGATGAGGAGATGATTGAGTGTACACAAGTGTTCTTCTGATGTGTGAAAAGATGGTATTCTGGGTTTTAGATGAATACACCTCAAGGATTTACAGCACTTACATGTATTGTGTTTTGGTAAGGCTTTCAGAATCTAAAATGTTACCTTCCAATTTGTTGAAGCTGAGATCTCTGGAAGAGAAAGAGACAAGTCAGGTGTTATATAAGTACACAATGAAATATTTCTGAATGATGTTAAATGTGAAATCCATGCAATACATAGAGGAGTGAATTCATGAAAAGCATTCAAGAATATCAGATGTTTGAATTCAACTTTCAAGGAAAATGAATAATCTAACCATAACTGAACCAAGAAGAATGATAAATGATAAGTCAAATGCTGAATCATAAATAATCAAAATGAAGATGAAGAAATAGTGGAAGACTTACAAAATTTGCATTTTTGAAAATTCCCATAAGTAATCTGGGATTTGTCCAGATATATTGCAGCTACGCAGCATCCTGCAAGACATATAGCCACCATCATGTCAGCACAATTCATTGCAATGGGAATTAATGTAACCTCGGAGAATTTTGTAAGCCTGGGAATAATACTTACAATCTATACATATTTTTCATATTTTCTAAGTTCGGAAACTTTGAACCTTCTCCAGGTAAGTCACTGATCCTCCTGAAAATTATTGCAATATAAAGAATTGTCAAAAGAGAAAAGGCTTCCAGAGCAGTAAAATTAAAAGCTACTAAAAGCAAACCCACAGTTCAGTCAAATTATGCAAGACGGATAAGCTTGAAGGAATTGGCCCTTCCAACCCACTAGCTTGAATCTCTCTGTCAGAAAGAGGAATCCAAATTAATGAATAATCACCAGCTTCAATAAGGGATCCTATAGGGACAGAAAGACACTTACAATTTCTCAAGTTGCTTCCAACGATGGAAAGAGTTGGGTATTTTTCCAGTGAAGTTGTTACCACTAATCCTCCTGGATAGACCTCATAGCAAAGCAGAAATAGTTAGCAAATCAAGTATGGTTAACAGTATAATTTTAGATAGTGCCTAAAAATAGACTTACAGTTCTTTTATATTGGACAGCTTAGTAAGGGTGAAGGGAATCTCTCCTGTGAGAAAGTTAGCATTAAGAGTACTGCATTCACCAAAAGAGGAAGAATCAGGCCAAACCTCAAGTGAGTCAAGTTTTGGTTGATATGCTATTTATTTGACAGAGAGACTGATAATTAATCAATAATCATGCATGATTTTCCAATAGGGAAAAAGAAGCCTAACAGGTTTTCCAGGTTAACCAAGTTCCCCAGCTCTGGAGGAATAGTTCCAGAAAACAGGTTGTTCTCGAGCGTCCTGAAATTATAATACTAATAAGAAAAACATTATCATGAATTTTTAAGATAGAAAGAGATGATGCAAAAGAAATTATGAGCAAAAGAGACATACAGATATTTCAGGCTGGTCATGTTTCCCAAATAGCTTGGAATTGGCCCTGATAAGTGGTTCATAGAAACAGACCTGAAAGGAATCCATTCTTATCAGTCTACTGAAAGTAAGCTTCTAAACAGGATTCACATGAAGTGTACTAGTAAGGCTTACAGAAACTCCAACTTCAAAGCAGTCCATTCACGCGGTATTGTACCCTTAAGATAGTTCAGATAAAGTTGTCTAAAAGCAAAAGAAAAGAGATTTCAACATGGATAGAAGCTTATGATATTATTTTCTGGTTTTTGCAGATTAAAATCATCAAATTCAACCTTTTCTTACATTGTCTTTATATATGGTAGCTTGACAAGTGAGCGTGGAAGAACACCATCAAGATCCTGCCCAGTAAGATAGCTGTTCCAATAACATTAAAAGTGCTTTCATGTGACTTTAATAAGTTGTGGAAGGCGGCAAACAACTGGTATACTAGTTATTGAATTAGAATAAAAGAGGACTATATATGATTAAGGAATTCGGAGTTAACATTTTGTAAAGACCAGAGAGGACATACATGCCATCAATATGACATTCACCATTGGGGAAGGAGCAATTGCAGGTGACAGTACTATTGTTAATAGCTTTCGGCATATTTGGCAGTGGCGGCGGAGTAAACCAGCTTGACTTATTGTTGCAAGGGTTCTCACTGAAATTCCAATCCTTCTTTCCAAGCTCTGCGGCTATCTCATGAAGAGCTTGTGCTGCACACAGCCCAAAAAACCCAAGAAAAAAAAACCCCATTGGAAGAAGGAAACTGGGTTGAATAGAATTATAAGAAAATCTGGTAAATTCAGAGGAAATACACTCAAGTATACTGAAATGGATCAAACTTACTGTTTTATAATTCAAACAAAGATGCAGGATAGTTAAGAATAAACAAAAGGGAAAACGCAATTGCCCTATGAGAGTACAATGGGATTTGTTTCATTTCTTTCAAGCAAGAAATTCAAAGTCTAAGATCAAATCAGTTCATCAGAAGTTCACTACACTAACGGATGAAGGAAAGAAAAATGAAAATTTTACTAGTATTTAACCTTCATTATCTGGAGGAGAAGGTGGTTCCACCTGAGCTTCAACTTTGTAATTTGGTTCCATGCAAACCAGCATCAAGACTGTAAGAATCAGGCAGCCAAGAAGCTTCATTGTTGAAACACCATTGGCAACTCCTCCCATGCTTTCCCTCAGCTTTGCTTTGCTATCTCTCTGGTCTGGAAAAAAGAAACAGAGTTCCACTTTTTGGTAATGATAAATAATGCTAGTGGGTAAAAGCTAGTGGGCAAATTTAGTTTATTTATGATAAGAATTGGCTGGCTGGATCTTGAACCCCGGTAACAATCCGCTGTACTTACATAAACATTAGAGCCTAGAGGACTTTGTTTGATTAATGGATGAATAAGAAGGAAAGAAGTACAACAAACAACTACTAGAAAGTGTCTATGATTCACTTTTATTTTTCTAAATTGTTTAGTTTAAAAAAGAAAATTGAAGTGGAAGAAAATCATTCGTGATTAAGGAAAGGAATTATTTACATTGTTTTCTAGTGTGAAAAATTATCGATTATGGGAAGTCACAATCACATGGCCACCACCACCAGTTTAAAGAATTGTCCATTAGTCAGCGGGAAGGCGTAAACAAACAGAATAATAGCCTATAGGAATATGATATAGTGATATATATATATATAACTTTATGTTCACTCACGTGAGTAATAAGAAATACTAACACTCCATACTATACTAGTCAATAAAGCTGTAATAGAAAATCGCTTACCCAAAAAAAAAAAAAAAAAAAAAGAGCTATTGAAAGATCCAAGTTAGCTTAGCTAGATACTGAGAGATATTATTCAATGCAGTTTTAAATTCATTATCAGCAAAATAGAGTACAGAAAAATAAGTTAGATTCTGTCTTATATAGTACCTTAATGATACTATTAATTACTTGCTCCACCCATTTTATGGCCTTGAAGATTTGGAGCATGACTTTGAGATTAAAAGTACAGCGTCACATAAGAGATGCAACACTGTGGAATCAAGCCAAAGATAAGCTTGTTTAATCATCCAAATTATTTGAGACAATTCTAATATTAATGAAATCATCAACTTCATACATAGAAATTCAGAATAATTATAATTAATCAATTGAATTTATATACTGTGATACAAAACTCACAATGGGCGAAAGAAATTAGGACTATTTACATTTTCCAGGTGCTATTGACTACTTACACGCAACAAGGTGAGTTATAGACTTGGATGCTACTAACCTGAAAATTTCGTCCAACAATTAGTATGCTATGAAAGGAATACTCACTATTATGAACAATGTCTTGAATTTGGGTTGTTTTCATTGGAGTTAGACCATGTAGATGAAGAGAAGTTATGGACAGTTGAAGTTTGGGTTTGGCTTCCACTGGAACTTTGATCTTCTTTCTGTCGACATAGATCTCTCATGGCCTTAAATCTTAAATCTTCGGTATATGTGCCTGGTTCTGGTATCATGTCAGGAACAGTCATTTTCCCTTCAAGCATGCTTACCACTTCAGACATGGTAGGCCTAAGTGATGCTGATACATTTGTGCACAATAGAGCTACTTTAACCATAAGTTCCAGCTCTTCTTTCTTGACTTCAGACCTTAATCTCTCATTGAGAAGTGCTACCAAGTTTCCAGCTTGATGCAGATGGCATGCCTGCAAAATAGGGTTATACATTGACACATCTCGTCATATTTCAATATGGAGAAATTTGAAAACTTGTAACGAAGTGGGTGGACCACCAAGAGTAGGAAAGGAGGCATCTACCCAATCTAGAAGACAAACAAACTTTTCACTTGGCATAAAGTTGTTTGTGTTCTTCTCCGTAACGATTTCCATTACCACCACTCCAAAACTGTAAACATCTGCTTTGTATGTCAAGTGGCCCCATAATGCATATTCTGGTGCCATATATCCTCTGCACATTAAGATTGGAATGTTTTATGCAAAGCATTATGTTCAAGTCACTATCGTAATTTGACATAAAAAAGTAGAGGTTTCTTGTTTAATGAAAGCTAGGAACTCACATGGTTCCAGCGATTCGGGTAGTGATGTGAGTCTTCTCCTCTTCATCGAGCCTAGCCAATCCAAAGTCAGATATTTTCGGGTTTAAGTCACTGTCCAGAAGCACATTAGTAGCTTTAATGTCTCTGTGAACAATCTTGAGTCTAGATTCTTCATGCAGAAAAGCAAGACCTCTAGCTATACCAATACAGATCTTAAGCCTTGTAGCCCAGTCCAGTTCGAGCCGATTGTGTTCTGGACCTACATAATATCCAAGTATTGCTCACCAGATTTAGTTTTTATTCACACACAAAATGATCATCACTTAATCATATGTTGATTTTATTACAAAGGAAAACAAAAGCACAAGTATTTGATACGCGCTCACCAAACAAAGCACGGGCAAGGCTATTGTTTTCCATGTACTCATAAACCAATAGCAATTGATCCCCTTCAACACAAAATCCATGAAGTTTAACGAGATTAGGGTGTTGCAAGCAAGATATCATCCCAATCTCATTTAGAAATTCACGATTCCCTTGCCGTGATTTAGAGGAGAGCTGTTTTACTGCAATCTTGGTACCATCAGGTAACTGACCCTGCACCAGATGATCATTAGATTCTAATATGTTGAATAAGATAGAAACTAAACACTAAAACAGGATAATTACATAGCATTTAGCTTGGCACCTTGTATACAGGACCAAAACCTCCTTCTCCAATCTTGTTAGCAGGATCAAAGTCATCAGTGGCAACTTTAATCTGTTTCAAAGTAAAAGTCCCTGATGGCATGTCCCCTTTGATATCTGTCCAAAAAAGAGCCAAAATTATATATGCTTGTTTTGTAATTATTTAAATTACAATAATAAATTATTCCCTAAGTTTCAAGTACAATGAGTAACATGAGCACTGCAACAAAAAAAATCTCCATGTGACTGTCTGTTACAAGATTTTGAAAAGAAAAAAAAACATTTTAACTTGAACAGTTATTTGTGCAGTTTATTTATTAAAGAAATACCGAGAAGGGTTGTTTAGACCTGCTTAACAGTTTAAGTGGGAAAAATGCAGGAGATATTCCACCTTAGTATTTCTATGAATGCAATGAATTAGAAAAATATAGATCTCCAACAAAATATAGATATTCCACCTGTGCCTTCTTTCCTCCAACATTTTCCAAGCAAACAGCCTTTCCACCAAAGAATTCCCAGAACACCCAGTATGAAGAAGAGAAGGCATGATCCTACAACCCCAAGAACCATGTAAGCGGTTCCACTGTTTCTTCCATTAGGGCATTGCTTGAAATCTGCTCAAAACATCAATGTTCATTAATAAGGCAAAAGCCAAAAGGGTTACCAGAGAAGAAATTTCTCTTCCACCACTTTTACTTTATTTTTCTTTTTCTTTCTTTTCCCCCGTTTTGGGAGGGATAGCCTAAAATAAGAATGCATCTGTGCAATGGACAAGGAGAAAGACTATGCATGCAGGAGTATACCAGAAACCACAGATATTGCTGATACAAGTGGCCCATAGACACTTCTTTCAGGAATTCTTGTTGTTCCTCTCCCAGCCCAATAGAACCGAATCTCCAAGAAATTATTTGTCACACTGACATTATAAACTTGTTTTATTAAAGGCTTTTGAGCACTCCTTGCCTCTGATTCAATATTAAAGTCCTTCCACAATAAGTTTTCCTGTGAAAAATGTAGATTAGTAGATTAGTGCATCTCTATTTTGCAAATAGGAAAAGGCATATACTTAGAGAAGCCTGTTTGATAAGTACCTGAACATAAATGTCAAATATGCGCCTACCAAGGCTGCTATATGTTTCATCATTAGTAAACTCTATCTCTGCAAAATTGAAAGTTATGGTATAATTTCCATTCTCTAAGCAATAATGGAAATAAGTGAGTGATATTGGAGCTATGCGGGCTGTTCTGTACAGTTCTGAGATGTTTAATGGTCTTGATACAGTGTAACGTGTATTTTGGAAATCATTGTCATCCATGAAGTCTCCCGTGCTACTAAATCCCCAATAAGCATCATCTCTAATAAAATACTTTGCTGCACCACCTTCAACATCACCATCTCCTTCATATAATAAGTTTATTTGGTTTTCCTTGATCCTTGTGTCCTTTCCACCACAATTAACATGTAAACAATTTGAATCTGCTACAAAGGAAATAATTTGTGTTAAACTAAGAAATAAGTTCAATCATATATGCAATGTAATACAACATACTTAAAAGTCAATTTCTTGCACATCTTTGATGTTGTTTGATGATTGCACCAGAAAATGAATACTCCTTGATGGATGTCAATTTCGACTCATCCATCTTTTACTAGTTTATTAACCGTGTTCTTTGTGACTGACTGTGATCCTTCCATGCAAGCTAATAGAAACAGTTTCACTAAATAGCAAACCCAGATAAAATTTTGAGAAATTGTATCATAAATATTGGCAGGGTTGCCAATGCAGCAACTCATACAAGTATGTCAGGCAATTACTATGGTGGTATAAGTACTAAAATAAGTACCAATATGATTAAAATCAGAGAAGAGAAGGATGACAGTCACTCATCATTAGAGTACTGGGTCATTTAATATGAAGAAATCTGGTTTAGAAGGCCATAATGGAAGTAAGGTAGCACCCCACATATTCCAACTCTTAAATGGACAAAGACTTACATTGAGGACAGGTGAAATCCTTCTTGCATGAAAGAGCTCCCCACCTGTATTAGAAAATCATTAGTGCAAAGTTTGATCAGTGCAAACAAAGATCTTTCTTTATCATGTGACCAGACTTAAATGAAAATAAGGAAAAGAGAACTCTTACACGTTGTTGCCTGATGAAGAGCTACGAAACAAGTTTAAGTTCAGATTCCTAAGGACGACGATGAACCAACTGTGAGTCTCTATCATATCAAAGATGAATGCATAAAGGAAAGAATAATACAGAAGTAGTCTAACATGTTCTCCTGACAAACAGGTTTCTCAGGACCTTGCCAGGTGAAGTTATTGTACGAAAGATCTCTGCATATAAGCATTGAGAATCAGCATCAACTTGATGAAAATGAGCTTAAATAACAATGCCTGAATATCTAGAGATGTATTTTTCTTTCACTTCTTTTTTTCCCTATGAGTAGAGCATCTAACCTTTAAAAAACAGCAAATAATCTTTTAGAAATTCAAATTACCAGTCAAAATTCAAATATTTATCTTATGAACCACGAAGAACATGCTGTGAATAGTGGATCAAAAGTTTAAAAGACCGGAAAAAATGTAAATATGATAAGAAGTATCACAAACAGAAACATACATGCTGGCCCCCTGCCTCAAGATTGAATCTGGCACATCTCCACTTAGCATGTTGCCACTCAAAAAGCTAATTGAAACCACATCAGATTGTCAGTATTGCCCAAGAAATCAGAATAATCGAAAGTAATCAAATAATATTAAAATTATAATTTCACTGCAGATGTCAGTTCTTTTAAGTACTTCTGGACTCAAGGACAAATTTCATATCAAATATCTGGCTATGAATGTTCATATCTCCAAAACAATCTAAATGTGCAATGAAGTCTATAAGAAAAAGAAATGCAGCCACTTAACTTAATACTTACATAAACCGTAGACGGTTTGCACTTATGCTGGCTGGAATTTTCCCAACTAACTTGTTAAAACTGACATCCCTGTTGCAATCAAAGCACGAGAATTTTATGCTGGTGTGCACAAATTTCAAACATGATTTTACAAACTAGGAGTTTCTAAAAGATGAATAAATAACTTGTTAAAACTGAGATATAGTTTAGTTTCTTAGAAAGAGAATGATGGACTAATACATGTAGAATCTGACAAACAGTTGCACTATAAAAATTGTATTATGAATAAAAACATTTCTTTTGTTATAAAAACATTCCTGTGAAGTGAATGAAAAACTAAAAGGTAGGAAAGTTGATGCCCAAAACCTGGTGCATACTGCATACGTTACTTACAACATTTCCAGATCCTTCATTGTCCAAATGTAAGCTGGGATCTCTCCAGAAATGTTACAATTTCTCAAAACCCTACAGTATATAACTGGACCACATTTAGTCGAAATGGATCACTATAGATAGCAATTTTCAATATATCTGATGATTTAAGCACTAAACATACAATCTCACTATGCCTGTCATGTTTCTGACTGTAGGAAAACCCTGAATGGGCCCATTAAAATCACTAATCCTCCTGCATCAGGAGAAATATCAAGCCATAAATGAGAAATAGGAAAGTAGTTACTACAGAAAGCCTACATTTACAAATAGAGGCATCATACTCACAGGTCAACCAAATTATTCAAAAGAGATACGGTTGTTGGTATTGGTCCCTCAAGTCCACTTGATTGCATTTCTCTGCCATAATTCATAATAAACATGTATAATTGTAAGGAAATGAATATATACATAAATACACACACACACACACACACATATAGAAGGAGAGGGGGACAGAGAGAGATCTGAATTTAAGGATCTTACAGTCGGCTGAGTTGCTCCCATTTCTGTACGAAACTAGGTATGCTTCCATTGAAGTTGTTATCATTTATCCTACTGCAATAGACAAAAAATGATGTAAGTCTATGAAAATCTCTCTATATAGCTTAATAAAGGTAAATTGGAGGCAACTCACAGATCAGATAGATTTCTAAGCAAACCAAGGCTAACTGGCAAATACCCAGTTAATTGATTGGAGGAGAGTATCCTGAAAGTACAATAGCAATACATATTTAAAAGAAAACAAGGGTTGGGGGGGGAGAAAGCACATCGTTTATTGTTGAAGGCAAGTGAAATATAAAACACGAAATCAAAGAATCAGATACTCAAAAAGAAAGAAGATCAAGATTCTGGGGTTCTCTTACAATGTTTTCAAATTCACTAAATTCCCTATTTCAGGTGGTACAGCACCAGAGAATTGATTTGCTTCAAGGCACCTGATTAAAATAATATAAAAAATCCTTCAAGAATGTTCCATTGAATGAAGAAAGAATTGTGAAGAAATCCATGTTTTAAGATTATATAGCTATACACGTGTTTAATTCTGATCGCCACAATACTCTCAAAAGATAATGAAATATGATGAAAACAAGTTGAAACATACAGATATGTGAGAGTGGTAATATTTCCGAGGTCCTTTGGAATTTCCCCCAACAAGCGATTAACAAGAACAGAGCTGCAAAAAACTTTCTGGTAAATTTATGAGGAGATAAAAAAGAAACAAATAGTGTGAAAAACTTGAAGACTTACATCGAAGTCAACTTCATGGAAGCCCATTCTGTTGGAATTGTGCCATGTAGGTAGTTGTAAGCAAAATCACTACAATATAAAGTAAGATTATCTAGAGAAGTTATTTATGGCGGTTCTACAGCATCGCAAAAACAGTTGTTATGTAATCTATTAGATTCATAGTAAATCTTTAAAGGCTCTTACATTTCTCGAAGGTAAGGAAGCTTAACCAGTTGAGGAGGAAGTGTTCCAGGAAGATTATAACCCTTGAGCACTCTGACATGCATAGGCCAAGCAATATTAGTATGTAGAAGAACATTAAAAAAAACATAGATTGATAGTTACATGAATCCATAAAAGGCTTTCTCAGTGGTTACTCATTTAAAGGGTATGCACAAATGCACTTGGTAATCATGCCTCAAATGCATAATCCATGCAAATAGCAGTTGCTTAGAATACAACAGCCAAAAACTACCCTCATGTTTAGTCATTGAAACCCTCTCAGATTTGCCTTAATAGAAATTACTATGCAGATCCAAAGATGTAGAATGGAATAACACTTGATCAGATAAAAGAATAAACATAAATTTAGTAATAAAATGAAGGAATAATACATTCTTACGACATGGCAAACATCACTGTTTGTCTCACATTCACAAGAGATGTCATGCTCTGCATTCTTCGGTGGCACTAGTGTTACCCCAACCATTTTAACTTCACAGGACTCACCATCAAATTTCCAATGTGTCACACCCATAGCGGCAGTTATCTCTTGTAAAGCATCAACTAGAAAACATCCATAATTCCATAAGCATCACAGCATAATATATAAATGTAATAATGAACAAATACTGGGCCAGCTATGTTCCTTAACAAGTTTAAAAATTTCAACACCCATGCTAATATTTGCATTACATGAATAGAAGTGTAAATCTTAAAATCTTCATAAAAGAGGAGAGATCGAGTTTAAAATAAGCAGTCTGCTTTTAGCTGTAAAATCTAAGAAATGTTAAACACATCTATGAAGAAAAATACCATGATATAAATGGGGGCAACTAAGTACTAATAAATTTCAGCCAAAAATCTCTATGAGGTCTACAAGTTGACTTTGAGCGAATTGCAGCTCAAATTTGAAACTTTATTTTGGCTCAAAATTTCTACAAAGAGGGAAAGAAAAATCCCCGATAATAATCGATTAGGAAGCATTTGAATATGTAAACCAATAAAAAGGCCATAAAACATAAGTATCAAGTGGCCGTTTAACTGATAAGCTCCTTAATTACTCAAGTATGTTGTCAGATTTTTGCCAGAAACAACAAGCATGCCAAGGATCACATAGAGTACGGGTAAATGCCAAAAACCTATATACCCAGTATGTCTTGCAGAATCATCACTTATTGACAAGACTTTAAAACAAATGAATATCCATCTGAGCATGTAAGAAGGTTTTTTCAGAAATTACATATATGCTAATTACTTTCACCATGAATAGAAGACAGCAGCAAGGTTCTCTTATAATTTCAAGTTTGGTTAGCTAGAGAAAAATACAGAAACCCAGCAATAAAATCAGCAGAAAAGCATAAAATGGAGGGGAAAAAAGGCCCTTATAACTCATTTAAGGAACAGCATCCAACAAAAGCTGAACCTTGTTAAAATTTCAAAATTTCCCACTTTCTTTCATTTTTACAGCAACAAATGAAGCACCCATTTTCCCTCATTATCTTATCAACCAACCATAGAACAACCAAACTACCAAATAGGGGGGAAAAAAAGAAATCATTTACTCTTACTCACCTTCTTCTTGGGGCACTTTTGAATCTGCAAATCTAAGCAACCTAAAGCAACTCATTGCAATAACCAAGAAGGCAAACAGTTTCTTGGTAACCATGATGACACAGACACACAGTAGCACAGAACTTTGAAGGATCGATGTAGCTTACGAAGTAACAATGAGAAGCTGCTGAGCTCGTTCCAGCTCTGAAAGTCTAGCAAAAACAAGTTGCTATTAATGCAAGTAAAGTTGTACTTGTAGGCAAGTAAAATACTAAAATCCCCAGATATGGACTTTGAATACCGGTCTTTATTGCATGTAATAATAGTACTACAAAATTATTAACTGGGCTATACAGTATAACAAAGAATATAAATTATGGAATATTATAGTTAGGTGTATAAAAATTAAACATATTAAAAGATAGGGTCTACTGAAAAATAAATAATATTAGGGTTACCTGTAACGTCATATTCCATTGTGAAGGCGAAACTACCCTTCACTTTAAGGAAGGAAAGAAAACCGACGGAGAAAATGACGGTAATCAGTTTATTGGCCGGAATTAGAGTTCCGGCATCGGAGCTGGCCCTATCCGTCTCCACGTCTCAATCTATCTCCCAATCCCAATTCCGAAATTCTTCCCTTCCCTCTGTTTCCCATTATCCTTGAAAACATCATCGGAGACGACAAGAATCTGTTTGGTGGTGCCACATTCCCCGACCTGGGTTAATCGCCTGCGCAACAAGGGTTTTGGTCGGGAAGGGAGAGAATGTAAAAGAAGAAGATGAGAGCCTTGCTAATTGATATATGAAAGCCACAAATTAATTATAAATCAATTTGTTTTAATTCATTTATTATCTGTCGAAGCTTTTTTTTTTTTTTTTTGAAGAAATCATCTGTCGAAATTGATGAAGACCTGAAGTGAGGTCTTTTCCCCAAATCTCTCAAATGCATTTCACCAAAAAAATCTCTTAAAAATGCAAAAACTTTTGCATGGTTTTTTCAGGGACATTTTTGGCATTTTGAATGATCTTATTGTTAAACTTCTATAGCATTATTACAACAAAACACAGGTCATTAATTTATTTACTCTCCAACGCACCAAACTCGAATTTACCCTTAATAATCTTGAAAATATACCAAAAAAATCTTTTAAGATTATGGCAATTGGTCCCCTAATCTATCCACCCATGTTGTCCCTTTCATATAGTACCATTTCTTTTAACAAAAAAAAATTACAATAAATTTTAGTAATGAACTTTGTGCTAACCTTACTTAAAAATGGGCTCGTTGAAAACCCAGTGGCTAGTACAGTTTAAGCTTTCAGGGTGCTTAACAATTAACATATAGAGGAGGGTATTATAATTTTTTATTTTATTAGAAATTAAATGTAGATAAAATAATTAGGGGGCGTTTGGTTGGGGGTGATCTTTGATCACCTGTGGTGATCTTGGCAGGTGATCTCAGATCACCCCGTTTGGTTACACCTTTTGGTTTGGTGTGGTAATCCGGATTACCCCCTGATCACCCCTCTAAGGGTGATCTGGATTACCACCATAAACCCATGTAATCTTTGATCACCGGTGATCTTGCATCACTGGTGATCTTAGATCACTAGTGATTTGGGGGGTGATCCTAACCAAACGCCCCCTTGGTTGTGTAATTTATTTGGTTGACTTTTGGTACTTCTTTGAAATTTTGAGCAGAAAATTAAAATGTATTCTTACAATACTATAATAATACCGTTATATATACTCAAAATTTTTATAATTAGCACTCATTCTATTAATTGAAAAAATATCTTATAATTAAGATCAAGAAGAAACATAGTATTACTTGTCAGTAAATCTATATTGCATGTTGGTCCCAAACTCTCTCAATGGTCCAATGCCAAATTTTTAAACATAGGAAACATTCAATGGGTTTAATAAGTTTAAAGAATGAATAATTAATTTATCTTGCAGCTGGCAGTAGGATGTTTTGATGAATGAACATATTTTTATCTACCACATGGGTAATTAATTACTATTGACTAATCAATTCCCTCAAAAAAAAAAAATTGGTTGACTAATCAAAAGTCAATGATCATATATCTAACAACTATATATATACGCCATGCTTCATCAGATTCATTCATCGGTTCGGTGCCTATTGATCTACTATCTATGGAGTATCCATAGTATATATACCCTAAGGATGTGTTTGGTTAGAATCATCACCCAGATCACCAGTGATCTTAGATCACTATTGATGCAAGATCACTGGTAATCTTAGTCAATTCTTGTTTGGTTGGATCATCAAAGATTACTAGTCATCTTTGATCACCATGTTTGGTTAAAAAGGAAGATCACATCTCAATAATTAGTACACACTTATAAAAGATCATGTTACCCTCATGCTATAATATAAACAAGCCTTTGTAATTAACCAAAATTTTCCATTTCTTCAGTACTTTCTATCAATTCTTTATAAATTAATTTTGGCTAGTTGATTTTTTTAACACAATCTATCAATTTTTTGTAAACTAATTTTGGCTAGTTGATTTTTTTTCCTAACACCGTAATTGACATTTGCTTCATTATTTTTGATTTATCATTTTTATACCAATACATTATTATATATATATCTATTTTTTTTAGAGGTATTATATATATCTACTTGATTTCTATGTTATTATTATTGTTATTATTATTATTATATATATACGTATTATTATCATTATTATATATCTACTATCCCCTCCCTGTTATTGTTGTTATTATCATATAATATATCTACGTATTATATCATTATTATATAATATATATATATATATATATCTACTACCCCTCCCTGCCATTGTTTTCGAAATTGTTGAAGAGTGAAAATGGGAAAATAAGTATTTCAATTTTGGGGAGAAATCATTATTATATATATTTCAATTTGGGCAATATCATTATTATATATATATATATATATATATCTACTATCCCCCCTATGCAATATATATATATATATATATCTATTTGTTTCAATTTGGGGAGAAATTGTCGAAGAGTGAAAATGGGAAAAATGAGTTTCGTGTGTTATTTGTGTTAATATGGTATTTTGTAATTAAAATCAAAACAAAGGATAAGGTGGTCAGATTTGTTAAATATGTGAGGGTAAAAAAATAAAACCAAAATAGTAGTAATTCAGATCACCTGTTGATCGGATCACCCCTGGATCACCCTTGGAAGGGTGATCGGATCACCCTTCTTAAAAATAAAAAATGTAACCAAATGGGGTGATCTGATATCACCACCCAAGATCACCTGGGGTGATCACCCCCAACCAAACGCAACCTAATAGTTCTTAATTAAATTTTCTATAATAAAAACAAACTAATTAATTATATATCATGATTTCTCTGAAAAAAAAAAATTATATATTCATACTCTACACAACATGTGTTGTTAGTTCAATTGGTAGGTGTACATGAATTAAGTTTAGTTAGTTAGAATATCTCCACCCTTTATTTTTTTAAATAATATCTTCGGCCTTTTTGACCTAAGATTAATCCTTTTTTCATTCTAAACTCTTCCAACAAATATGCTTTTAGGAAATTGAATTTATGTTTTTACCCTTATTGAGATTGGAAGCTACTTACTACTAACCAATCACTTGTTGATGGTAACTTATTTACTGTAGTTTCTTAATTTGAATTGAAATTTCATTGAATTTTTTAGACATTGAAATTTCACTTATATAATTAATCTATATCTATATACTATATCTAAAAGTACTAGTTTCGTAAAACTTTTGAATCGACTATTATATTCTTATTTTTTTAATATATTTCTTAAATGTCCTTACTTAAACTATTGTAGTTTTATTCTACTAAAACTCTATTTTTATTTCCTCCAAAAAAAACTCTATTTTTATTCAATTATTAAATCTAATATCTTTATAATTTCTTTATTTTTACCATTTTACTATTTTTCAATAAAAATTGGAGATATTAAAATTTTTATTATACAATTTTATTTTACTAAAAACTCTATTTTCATTTAATTAAATTCAATATTATATAATTATTTTATTTTTACCATTTTAATTGAAAAAGTTATTGTGATTGACATGTTCTATTTGATAGTTTAATGTATTATTATGATTAAAATTTATTATTTCCCTAACGTGCAATTATTTTATTTTATAATCTTTCGGATTGATCTGATTTGGGTTGATTCAGGTTCGGGTCATTAAGCATTTGAGGTCGGGTCATTTTGGTTTCGGATTGAGCGGATTTTTTTGGTCGATCAATCGGGTTAGATAAGATTTGGTTTCAGGAGATCGAGTCAGATACCCGTACTCGAGTGAAATTTTGCCAGCTATAATAATAGGTTTTTTTAAGATAAAATTAGTAGTATACTTAAGATTTTAATTTTAATTTAATTTAAACATATTAGATCAAGTGCAAAGCACGTGGAAGTGATGACTAGTTAAAATTAAAATAGTATAATGTCAACATTTTGATAGAAAATATTAATATACCAAAAAAATAAAATCTTAGAAGAGTTTATAGATTAAATAGGCCATCGGGCTTTTGGCCTGATGGATTTTAAGTTCCATTGTATCTGGACCATGAAGTTTTAGGTTCTAGTATCACGGAATGTGAGTTTAGTTTGTAATTTATTTGTTTGTATATTTGTTATGTTTGGTAGTTTATATATGAAATTAGATTTGGCAATCCTGCTTGATTTATGTACCCTTCAATGTATTTGCATATATCTAACAACTATATATATATATATGTCCCTAAGGGGACACCCTAGTGGTTAAGAGCTTGGGACTTCTTGTGGGAGGTCTCGGGTTCGAAACCTGGGATGGGCGGGGTGAGATTATGGGAAATGAGAGGATTACCTCCTATTGTGTAGTCCATTTCAATATCATATTCATGAATAGCAAAAAAAAAAAAACTATATATATGCGCCATGCGCCATCAGATTCATTCATCGGTAAAAAAAAATTATATATCATGATTTCTCTAAAAAAAATTATATATTCACAATCTACACATATGTTGTTAGCTCAATTGGTAGGTGTACATGAACTAAAAGTTTAGTTAGTTAGAATATCTCCGGCCTTCATTTTTTTAAATAATATCTTCGGCCTTTTCAACCTAAGATTAATCCTTTTTTTATTCTAAACTCTTCCAACAAATATCTTTTAGGAAATCGAATTTATGTTTTTACCCTTATTGAGATTGGAAGTTGCTTACTACTAACCAATCACTTGTTGATGGTAACTTATTTACTGTAGTTTCTTAATTTGAATTGAAATTTCATTTGAATATTTTAGACATTGAAATTTCACTTATATATAATTAATTAAAATTAAAATAGTATAATGTCAACATTTTGATAGAAAATATTAATATACCAAAAAAAATAATAAAATCTTAGAAGAGTTTATACATTAAATAGGCCATCGGGCTTTTGGCCTGATGGTAGAGTTATGG